TTACCCCAGTTCACTTGTACATATTTAAGAAATTCACCAGACCAGGGTCGTGGTGTGTGTGTGTGTGTCTGTGTCTGCCTGTCTGTTTTTAGGCTTCAGTAAAGCTTTTGTGACAAGATGTGGAGAAGGTTCCAGAACATGATTGTTTCCCCTTATCCATAAGGAAGGATTGACTCCTAGAGTTTATTAATATGTAATAACCTTGGAAAGAAGCAGTGACATAGAAGAAGAACCTACTTGTCTTTCTACCTCTCCAGGCTTTCAGCCTATACCAGGCTAGGGTTGGCTGAGACAGAACCAAATTCTGAGGAGCTTGTTGTTACCTCCTACTGAAAGAGTTGGTCTGGGGTTTGGACAGGCAGGTTCCTTTTGTTTACAAAAAGGAAATTCTGGTACTCTTAAAAATTCTTGGTTTTTAAACCAAGAGGAAAAAGAAACCTTTTCCAAAGTCTAGGCCTCAGACATTTTGGTCCTATCCAGTATCCCTTTTTTTGTCTCCTTCCTTAACCTCTCTCCTTTTAGCTCTTTTCTCTTCCTCTCTTTACTTTGCTCCTTATGCAACTTCCCATCTTGTCTTCTTTCTTTTTCTCTACCTCATGAAAACAACAGTGGGAAAAGGACACCTTCAACTAACAGATTAGTAGCTCTTTGAGATTGATATAGATTATGAGGCTGAGAGTCAGAACATAGAGCTTGAAATTTTAGAACTTCTATTCCTCAGAACAAAGATTGATGGGACGGGTGTTAGTTTTTTTTCATTTGTTCATTCGTTCACATGTTCTCCACATACTTAGTATCCCCCTGTCTGCTAAGCTGGGAGTTAGGTGCTTGGGTTTTTACTGGTAATAAGACCCTAACTCTGCCATAAGATCAAGTCTTGAGGGAAAGACATAGAAACAGGCAGTCCCCTTTCCCATAAATCAAATAGTTGAATTTTAAGATAGAAAGAACTTTAGAGTTTATCAGGTGCTGCTTTCATGTTATACTTTAATGAAGTAAGGCAGTCCATAAAGTAAGGGAATGCACATAGGCTTTGGAGTAAAAGTGTTCCCAGAGCTTAGGGCAAAAGGCCAGCTCCTGGGGTCCTATCAGATCAGGATTGGCCACCAGTACCATAATACCAACCAAGGAGATGAGCAGTGGGAAAACCCAAGACGGGAGATTTAATCAGCAGCGCCAGGCTGGGAAACACAGATGAGATTCAAGATCTGTCTTTGATTGAGGGCCTGACAAAAGTTTTGGGGTTTTATAGAAAAGGGGAACAAAGTCAAGGGTTGAGGTTAGCATAGCTGGCACTATAGGTAATCCTGGTCAAATTGTGGTCTAGTTGAGCCATATCTCCAGACTGATTGTGCAGGGTTCTGGGGGAATGTTATGCTTGTGTCTAGATGTCCCCCCAAAGCCTCATCGAGTCATAGGTGGGGCTTTTTCAGAGGTGGCTGAATCTAGAGTATGTGATTGATTCATGGTAAAGTGGTAGGATTAAGGGTGGTTACTAAATCAGTCCACTGATTGGTTTGGTACTGCCCTAATCCTAGTAGCCTAGGTAGAATATAAAAGGGGCAGATAAAAGCTGCTTAAGGTTCCCTGATTGCTTTGCTACCTTCTGCTTGCTGTGAACTGTTTCTCCTTTGCAGTGCCTGTCCGCCATGCCACCTTCCCTTGGAGCCAGCCAGTTATGGACTGAAACTTCTACAAACTGGGAGCTAAATAAACCTTTACCCCTTTAACTTTGGGTGTCAGGTGTTTTATCTCCGCAATGAGAAAAGTAAGACAGCCATCATCGTTTGAGGGGATTGTTCTGGTTCCTATCATGAGATGATGGGTTCTGCTCATTAGATGGGCAGAAGGGGGGAAGATGGGGGGAAGCCTTGGTTTCTCTCCTGAAGTAACTTTCTTGTAAGACATGGAGACCAAATCATGGGGTGGTCTGCAAGGCTCTTCTTTCCCGGGAATCTGAGGTGGCTGCAGGTTTAGGATAATGACTGGAGACTTACAGGCATCCAAGGGGGTCTGGATCTGGATGTTGTAAAAGCTAACAGTTGGACGTCTCTCTGCAAATCGTGAAAATTACTTTTGTTCCCTGTATCTTGATGTTCTCAGTTTTTAAGGGGGATAAGATAGGCTAGATAAATTTAGGGCTAAATTTAGGGCTAATAAGCCAGTTGAGCAGCAGTATAACCCAAAGTTTTAAGGTAATAAATGGGACAAATATAAAAAAAATATAAAGGGCTGGGGATTTAGCTCAGTGGTTCCACTGCCTGCCTTGCAAGTGTAAGGTCCTGAGTTCAATCCCCAGTACCAAAACAAACTATAATCAACCAATAAGATTACAAGTATAGCTACTTAGCTAATATTGATCCAATAGGGAAGCAGGTCAAGTGGCAAAGGGTACATGGAAAGAACAAAGGCATCTTTAAGAACAGATGGGTCTAAAAAAAAAAAAGAACAAATGGGTCTAGATGCTCTGGTCACTCACTTGGGTGCTTGATGTCTATCTGGACTTTGCTGGACCAGGTAATACCAATTATAATACAATTCCAAGTTACTGTTTATCTCTTAGGGGGGCATGTAGGTCTGGTCATTGCATACTCCCCCACCCCCAAACTCAGGACCTTGTGCTTGAGAGGCAGGTGCAGTGCCACTGAGCTAAATCTCAGGCCTCAGGTCATTACATCTTTATCTTAAGGCCTGGTCTTCACATGTACCTCCAGTCACAATTCTGATGTCTTTATTTTTCCACTGACTTTCTTAAGAGCCCAGTTCCTTTCTGACTGTATACTAATTTTTGTCTAACTTAGCTGCCTGTTATATTAGTATTGTAATTGTGTCTTCCTCCATCAAGGCCTTAAATCTTCACTCCTCTGTGGAGTTTCTGAGGCCACCCCACATCAAACTTAATTTCATTGTCCATTTTTTGTAATACATAAAATTATTTAAATTGTTTAATCCTGCCTAATAGTCTCAGATAGTTGATATGGTCTCACCCTGGGTTGCAATCTGCCTAAGAATAAGTTCTGTTCTCGGTCACTTTGCATTTTCCACAACCCCTAACTCGCCTGTTTACACAGTAAGGCTGACCGGGAAGGCAATCTCAAGAAATATTTCTTGATTGGATGGAAGGCTCAGGGGTGACAGTGTTTTTCAGCTGATAGGACCTGTTATAGACCTGGGTGGGAGTCTCCCATCCAAACTCCGCGTTTCCTCACCTGTCATCAGATTTCTCACAAAATCCCTGTATTGGCAGTATAGGAATTGTTTTGAGACAGGATCTCACTAAGTTCCAGGTTGGGCTTGAACTTGCCATCCTCCTGCCTCAGTCACTCAGAATGTTGGGATTACAGATTGTGCCACCACCATGCCTGGCTATTTTCTTTTTAAAAAATTTTTATTGTTACATTTTAGATATACATAATGGTAGCATTCATCATAGGGAATTTGTACCTGTACGTGATATATCTTGATTCTTTTTTCTCCATTCCCTTCCCTTCAACCCCACTTCCCCTTATTTACAAAAGCTTTGTTTCCATTTTTTTCCTTCTATTCTCCTTTACCTAGTCTATTTTCAGGTGTATAGTAAATGTTAGTGGCTGTTAAATTGCTGTTGTTTTCCCCATAGCTTTGCATCACAGTACTTTGAGATTAGAGAAGTCTCTGGAACCACCTGGCTAAAGGCTGATAGACTTGAGTCCTTCAATTTGTATGCAGTAAAAAGCCTGAGCTGGGCATGGTAGTGCACACCTGTAACCCTAGCACTCAAGAAGGCTGAGGCAGGAAGATCTCAGTTCATGCCTATCCTGGACAATTTAAGGGATTTAGTGAAACCTTCTCAAAAAAATAAAAAAGGGCTGGGGATGTAGCTCAGTGCAAAGGCCCTGGATTCAGTCTCTGTAAACCCCCCCCCCCCCCCGCAACATACACAAAAGCCTGGAACTGCAAGAAAATGGAGATGTCAGGCTTACTTGCAAAGGAGTGGGGAAGCTCCAAACCCTGTCAGCTAGAACTAGAGAACATGTTTCCTGCTTGCTTTCTTCTGTTTTTGAGAAGTGGAAAGTATAATGTGTGGTTAAGAGGCAAGCTTCTGGAGTTGGACTTCCTGGGTTCAAGACTCAGCTCCACATTTTATTAGGCTGGTATGTGTGCTGCCAAAGTGAGTACTAGCTGTGAGGCTTGGGCAGATTTACTTAATTTTTCTGTGCTTCATTTTCCTTACTGGTAAAATAGAGACTATAATAGACACTGACCTTTATAAGATTGCTTCAAAGATTAAATGAGTTAATAGAAACAAAAGAGTGGCAATAGTACCTAGCATGCACTGCACTTCTCTTTGCACTTCTCTCTCCATCCCACATTCCTGGAAATTGATCTGTTCTTAACCATTCTCATCCAACAGAGGGGAAGAGTGGTGTAATCCTAGAAACCTGAGGTCAATATCAGAGTGCTTGAAAGATTGTTCCAGCTAGGTTAACATACTGAGCCTTATTCTTGCCTACCTGTTACTGGCTTAGAGTCTACACTTGATGTTGCCCTCTTTGGGATACTCATCCTTCAGGATTTTGTATGTCCTACCCTCTCACTTTATTCAAGTTTCTGTCTGATGTCATCTTTTGGAAAGGCCTTCCCTGACCATTTTATCTGGATTAGATGGTCCTCTTACCCCTTGCCATTTTTTCTTTCCTTACCCTGCTTTAATCTTCTTTTTTTTGTTTTTTTTTTTTGATTTTGGTACCGGGGATCAAACTCGGGTCCTTCCACTTGCGAGGCAGGTGGCGGAACCACTGAGCTAAATCCCAGGCCCTGCTTTAATCTTCTTTATGGCACTTAGCCCTATCTGAAATGGTATATTTAATAAAGTGCCTTTCACTAGGGTGCAGTATATGAGAGAACAGGAACCACTGAGCTAAATCCCCGCCCGAGAGCAGGAACTTTGAATGCCTATATTATCCTAAGTAAATGTCTGTTTATGTAGAACCCCTAATGGACTTCTCTGTTTGTTACAGGTAAGCCCTCTTCCCAGAGGCAGCTGCTGCTGACCTGATAACCCAAAAGAGGAAATAGCTGGCTAAGCTCCGCCTTGGTACTGGTAAGTTGACAAATTCTGGGCAAGCTTGGGCTAAGACACAGGTAGAGTAACTAGTTTGGGGACTACTTTTACACTTAGTACAGATAGCATACTGGTCATTAATCTACTTTATATCTAAGAGAATGACTTTTTTTTTTTGGTACTGGGGATCGAACTCCAGTCCTTGTGCTTGCAAGGCAGGCGGCGGAACCACTGAGCTAAATCCCTGGCCCCAGAATGACTCTTAGCAAAGGTGGCCTCCTATTCTGAGAGGGGATTGAGAACACTTTCGTGGAGTTGTCAGTAAATGTCTGGTATCATTTGCCATGAATACGGCCAAGCAGGCTTCTTGTTTCTGCCAACTCCTTTCTAGTAGAGGTATCCTGGACCTGGCAGTGATACCTTTACTTCCATATGCTTTTTTTTTTTTTAATGTGACCCCACAGGCCTCACAGACTTTCTGACTTCAGTCTCTCCCGTGACCTGCCAAGCCTGGAGGTCAGCTTAAAGAAGTGATAGAGTTCTTCACTCCTGCATAGTGTGATCCTGAATAGTGGTGGGGATTGAGTGATAGAGTAGGGCTTTCATATGTGCACCAGCTCTGCAAGGATGTTGTAGAGAATCAAAAAGAGAAGTGCAAGTTGGAAAATTTTGTGAATTGTAAAGGAGCATGAAAGAAACCAGAAAGTAAAGAGAAAGCATTATAATTACCTTGCAGCATTTCAGTCCCTGACCTTTTTGCCACTTTACTTACCAAAGGTGACAAGGAAAGGTTTTCCTTTAGGAATTTGTGCTATAAATCTTCTCCAATGTCCTCTTCTTCCTCTGGTGCCCTACTCACAGCTCAATCTGTTTGTAAGGAAAAAGATTGCAGGGGTCAGGTGGCAAATTCAGGCAGCACTGGCAACCACAGTTTGCAGCATATGGGCTACAGAGTGCAGGTTTAAATGCATTCAGGCACCCAAGTTGCAAGGCCACTCCTGGCATAGATACTAAAACAGTTTCCAAGAGCCCATCATAACATGATTCTGCATTCACTCCTGAGATGTTGTCTTGTTCCCTACTGGCATTGGGGAAGAAGAAAGCTATTCCTATTGTGGCCCTAGGTATCTTCTGCTCCCAGCCCTCCAAGCTGCTAGTGAAAAAGGCAGTTAAGCTGTAGCCACTATGTTATTGAAGGCCCCAGTCATTGCAGTTTTCCTACCGTCTTGCTCTCTGTCTTTGCTAGTGATGTAACAATGGACAAGGGCATTTTTTCTTTCCTCTGTCTGCCTGAGGTATGCATCAGAGGAATCTTGTCTCTTGAACTTCACATTATCATGCTCCAACCTTCCTTCCTACTCTGAATTTCTGGGTTGTTACTGCCATTTCTTTTTTTCTTATTAAAGTTCTGTAGCTTCCAGCCTTTCCATCGCCTGGGTATCAAAGTTGGATCTTATTTTTCCTACCTTGTGAAAAAATTTCACTTTTGACTATTTTAAAATATGAATGATTCCATATATATAAGGATATAATACACAGGTATGCATAAAATACATAGCTTATTTATCTAACAGCCTCATTATTCCAGAGCCCAACTAAAAAACAAGGAAACAAATCATTGTCATCCTTAGCCCTTACAGTGGTGCTGATTTATTCTTATTTTTATGTATCATCATAGCAATCTGGTTTCTAACCCCCCTTAAGATTAAAAACAGCAAATAAAAAAGGAAAGGAGGTGAGAGCTGAAAGCTGGCAGTATTGGGGGGCGGGTAAGAGAGACAAGTTAACAGACTGAAAGGCATATAATGCAGGGGCAACACCCTGACAAGCACCGGTGCCTCAGTAAATTGGGGTTAGGTAATTTCTATGTTTGTTTTAGATTTCTCTTAAAGGCTAGATTTTTCAGAAAATGTTAAATTAATTATTTATAGTGTCTACTGTATTGCCAGGCATAGTGTACTGAATGCTCTACATAAATTTATTTCATTTTCACAGTAATTTGAGAGGTAGGTGGTGGTTTTCTTGTTTTATAAGTTACTGAGACTTAGGGACATGTAGGCAGTGCTTGAAAGTACAGTTGTGGAATGCAGAAGAATCTGATGCCAGAAAACTGAGTTGTTTCTGTTACTTTATATTAGCTTTTTTCCCTGTGACCTAAACTTGTTGTCCTGAGTCTCTTGAACTGAGTTTTCACTTTTTTAAAAATTTATTTATTTATTTATTTATTTATTTATTTATTTATTTATTTATTTATTTTTGGTACCTGAGATTGAACTTGGGACCCTGCGCTTGCACAGCAGGTGGTGGAACCACTGAGCTAAATCCCTGACCTGTTTTCACTTTTTACATTAATTCTTATATATCAGTTTTTCTTTTTGAAGACACTTATTCATTATTCATTCACTAATTATTATCTACTGTGAACTCTAGGTACAGTTTCGGGTGTTTGAGATATAGCAGTAAATAAAATAGTTCTACTGTAGTTTACATTCTAGTGGAAAAAAGCAGACACATGAATAAATATGAAGAAAAATAAAGCAGGATACGAGAATAAGGAGGGACTGGATTATCAAAGAAGGCCTGTCTGATCAAATAAAATCTGTGTGAAGATGCAGGAACTGAAGTAGTGTGCTATGTGTGTGTCTTGGGGGAATAACATTCCAGGAGTTAGGAGTTCAGCAAGTTCAGAGGCCTTGAAACAGTAATGTGCTTATTGTGTTTGAGGAGCAAAAGGAAGCCAGTGTGGTTAGAAAGGAAATGAGCAAGACAGGGGAGTGGAAAATGGAGAAATCACAAGGATAGACAGGAAAGTCTTTCTTCTGAGTGAAATAGAGAGCCATTGGAGAATTTTGAGTAGAGGAATGGACAGATGTCCATTTAAAAAAAAAAAAATCACTGATGCATCAGTTGGTGCCTCTACTACTCTCTCTAGGACGGTGTTGAATAGAATTGGTAAAAGCAGACAGCCTTACCTCTCGGTACCAACTTGGGGAAGGGGATGGTACTCAGTCTTTGACCATCAAGTTTTTTTCCCCTTGTGGATGACTTTTATCAGACTAAAAACGTTCTTTTGTATTCCTAGTTTGTGAGGTTTTATATGGATGGATTCTGGGTTTTGTTGATTATGTGGTTTTTGTCTTCTGTTCTACTGACATGGTTTTATAGTAATAAATTTTTGGATAGTAAATCAACTTTGTGTTTGTAGAGTAAATCCAACTTGGTTGTAGTATATTAATTTTTAAAAAAATGATAGTGGGTTTGATTTGCTGGGGGATTGGTTTATAGTATTCTTGTAATGTCGTTGGTTTTGGTATGAGGGTAGTAGAGGCCTCAGGATGAATAAGACTGTTCTCTTCTCTATTTACTGGACAAGTTTGTAAAACATTAGTGTTAATTCTTCAAGTGTTTGATAGCGTTCACCCCTGAAGCCATGTGAGCTTGGGCTTTTCTTTGTTGGAAAATATTAATTACTATTTCAGTTTTTTCCTTACCTATGGGTCTACTTAGATTTTCTTTTTTCTTTTTCTTTTTTTTTTTTTTAGTCATTTTGATTTTCTAGGAATTTGTCTATTTCATCTAAGTTTTGAATTTATTGGCTTCAAGTTATTTACAGTACTTTGTTAAAATCCTTTCAATTTCCATAAGATCAGTGGATAACCCCCCCTTTCTTTTTTTTTTTAATTTAATTTAATTTTTTTTTTTGGTATCAGGGATCGAACTCGGGTCCTTGCGCTTGCACAGCAGACGCCGAAACCACTGAGCTAAATCCCTGGCCCTAACCCCCCCTTTCATTCCTGGCTTTGGTAATTTGTGTCTTCTATCTTTTTTTTTTCTTGGGCCAGTCTAACTAAAGGTTTATCAATTTTGTGGATCTTTTCAGAGAACCAACTTTTGGCTTCATAGTTTTTATTTAATTCCATTAATTTTCTACTTTAATCGTAATTATTTTCTGATTTCTACTTGCTTTTGGTTTAGTTTGCTTTTCTTGTTTTAGTTACTGATTTTTGAGGTGCTACACAGCTCAAACTTAGCTCTTCTTCAAGCTTGACTAAAGTTGTTGGTGGTCAGTGGACTGTCAGTTTGCCCTTCTGTTGTGGTAGCCTCTGGTGAAGTATTTAGAGCTTCCTAGAAGGCCCACTTCAGAAACAGTAGGGATAATCAAGCGGTCTACATTACCCATAGAGAAGGAGCAAGGCCTAGACCCATAGTGCTTGGCATCCTGGATCCTGCCTGCCCCAAATCAACACTGGGCAGGCAATGGAGCAGGCGTGAGCCTTGACCTGGGGTTATGGGGGTGATGGCACATGACAAACCAGAGCTCCCCAGGCTTCTGAGGAAAGTTGACAGAGCTACCAGAGACAGCTGCCCACCTCATGGACTTCCCAGATTTCTGAATGACTTTCAGGGCCTTGAGAATACCTCTGTTGCCTGTTACGAATGAAATTCTAAGTGGAAATTTAATTCCATTACAGAAGAAAGGTTTAAAGAGCAGGTGCCATAGGTAAATAACATTAAGATGGGTAGAACTCTGGAGCAGTGCTTGGGCTTACTGGTTATTTACATGTTTCCTTTCATCTTTAAATGAGAAATAATAGTTTCTGTCCAGCCTGCTGTTTAAGGCACATTATGATTAAGTGCTATATAAAGCCATTAGGTATTGTACAAATGTAAATTACTATTAATGTTAGCAATTATAGTGATAAGGACCTGGAACAGAGTCTGAGCAGGTCCAAGAGCCGTCGCAGTATATCATCATCCTTCAAGGTATAGGAATGAACATCTGACCCAAGTGGGATTGGTAGCTTCAAAAGGCAGGAGGCCCATTGTCTGCCAGTATAATCATCATATGGTGTCTAGAGAATTAGTGGGGGAGTCTAAGGAAAGCTGCCAGAACAGCTCATATAAGAACCAGCTGTCCCTATTCACTCCACACCCAGGAATTCTGGCCACATCTTATTACTTTGGTTCCAGAAACAGCTGGCTCTTTCTTGAAGGTTGCTATCACAGCAAAGTAATAAAGTCCAGTTTTCTTATGGAAA